GGGACGCTGATCCTCCTCTTATGTGATCCTGCCTGCGGGAATTATGAAATAATTACTTGCCGGAATACCGGGCCAAGGAGTATAAGGAACCGGCCTAATCCAGGATCATTCACAATCGAGGAGTCGGAAGGGGAGCGCAGAAGGCTCTGGGCAGAGCCCGAAGTAGGAGAGAGGGTGGAAGCATTTTCCCTCAGCCTGTCAGATGTTGGGAAGGCCATGGACCTGGTGGCCGCGCATGAGATGGCAGATCCGGATGCCATCCAGGCCTTGAGGGAACAAGTTCTGGAATGCCCTGAGGCAGGAAGGTTGAAACTGGTATATCGGCTCCCAGGCATTGGAGGGAACCCCGTATCAGTGCAAACACAATCCGTGAGTCGGCCTTTTTTAGGGGACGGCTCAAGCAGGGTTCCCAAAGGCGGTACAAGACGGTAGATAAGAAATGTCGTCCGATACCCGTCCTCGTTACAGAGGACGAGGAAGCATATTACGAGAGGGAACGAGGGTTGATTCGACAAATGAGGGAAAGTGCTTTAGCAGGGCCATGTCGTATCAACGAAGGGAACGAGAAGAAGTTGATCATAAGGGAGTCTGATTTCCTACTGCCTCAGGAGCGAACGCTGATGGTGGAATTAATGAAGAGGAAGCATCGCGCCTACGCCTTTAGTGACGAGGAGCGTGGCAGGCTGAATGTAGATAAGATACCTATGATCCGCATCCACACCGTGCCACACGAGCCTTAGAACATGAGAGGGGCGCGGTATCCCAATCCTGACGAGGAAAGGAAGGTGGTGGACTATCTCGACGGCAAGATACGTACTCACGTCGCCGACTATTCAAGTGGACCGTATGCGTCCCCGTGGTTCTGCTTCATTAAGCCTAACGGGACGCTGCGGTGGGTGCAGGATTTGCAAAGATTGAATGCAGTGACCGTGCGAGATGCTGGAGGACTGCCGAATGCAGACGCGCTGTCGGAATCCTGTGCTGGAAGGCCTATAATTTCGCTTATAGACCTTTACTCAGGATACGATCAGTTCCCAGTCTACCCGCCAGATAGGCCAGTGACGGCTATGCACACGCCGCGATGATTAGTCCACATGAACGTGGCCCCACAAGGGTGGACCAACGCAGTCGCAATGGTCCAACGGGCCATGATTCGGGTCATGCAGGCAGTCAGCCCCTATATCACACAGCCATACATTGACGATTTGGCAGTGAAGGGGCCGGCGACGAAAGAGAGCGACGAAGTCTCACCAGGGGTAAGGCGCTTTGTCTGGAAGCACATTCAGGACCTCGAAAAGGTCCTGAGCCTGCTCGAAGAGCATAACCTCACGGCAAGCGGGGCCAAATCCAGACACTGCATGAGGGAAGCAACTATCTTGGGGATAGTCTACAATGAGAAGGGCCGAAGGCTGGATGTGAAGAAGACGGACAAGATTACTGAGTGGTCAGTTCCGTTCCACTCAATAACTGATGTCAGGAGCTTCCTTGGTACGTGTGGATTTTGAAGGGCCTTCGTCAAGAACTTTGCCGCTTAGACTGAATACCTGAGGAAGTTGGTCCGTCAGGATCAAGAATGGGTATGGGGTAAGGAACAAGAAGAGGTGGTAGCAAAAATAAGGAGGAATTTCGAGAAGGAGGGTTGGTGTTAGGAGCGCCAGATTATGACGCCACAGAGACACGACCCTTCATTGTCGAGACGGATGCGAGACCGACTGCCTTAGGGGGAGTTCTAATTCAGGCAGACATGGAAGGGAAGGAAAGACCCTTGCGATTTGAGAGTCGGACTCTCTGTATGACGGAGAGGAACTACTCTCARTTCAAGAGGGAGACCCTTGCTGTCCTTCATTGTCTGCGAATCTTCCGGAATTATATCTTTGGCAGGAGGTTTATTTTGAGAGTGGATCCGACCGCCCTGGCCTACTCTCTAAGGAATTACGTTCCATCGGATCCGATGATTGCCAGATGGCTGACGTACATCTAGATGTTCAATTTCGAATTGGAACGGATTCCTGTTAGTAAGAACCGGGCGGACGGGCTGAGTCGGATCAACCGGGATAAGCAGGAAGGGGAGGCGGTGGAGAATACGCCCCTAGTTGATGGATTTCTGGATCAGGAAGAAGATGTTCGTCTTCATATCAACAAGTGGTCGCCGCGAGCGCCTAGCTGTGTAGGTTATCCTATCTGGCAAGCGCCGAAGGGGTATGAAAGGAGGAATGATTTAGTCCTTAAGCCCTTTAAAGAAGAGGATCCCTGGGGCGGTAAGGATGTTCAGTGGATGATGGAATTAGCGCTGGCCAGCTCGCATAGCCTGGTGGAGGATATGAGAACGATTGAGGAAGGACCTGGCCAGATAGAACGGCATGAGGACCTGATGGGAGGAATGTATCTCCTCGTCAGCACGCTATTGCAGGAAGGCCTCGACCAGTCAGGCTCGTTGAACTCGACAGGAAATGTGGACGAAGTGTCCGAGAGCCAGGACGACGAGTTCGAGGAAGGAGAAATTAAGGAAACTTTTCGTGCGGAGGAGTACGACGGGATCTACCTAGAGCTGGGGCTTCTTCTGTCATGTGAAATGCGGCTAAGAGATGCGAGCGATAGGGCTCAAAGGATGCTGCAGCGCTACTTAGTACGAGACGGTCACCTTTTCGTGAGAAGGGAAGTGGGGAATCCCAGGAGGGTCGTCTGCGGTAGGAATCGTCAGATCGACGTCGTAGCAGCACTACACGATGGCATTGCAGGAGGGCATCGAGGGGTACAAGCCACGTATGCCAAGATAAGTGAGCTGTACTACTGGGATGGAATGATGGACATGGTCGGGAAATTCTGTCGATCTTGCGTACCCTGTCAGGAGAGATCCCGTTTAAGGCAGAGAGAGCCGCTGCATCCAAGGTTAGAGCGAGAGGTAGGGGCCGTAGTGCATTTCGATCTGCTTTTTATGCCACTTGGGGATCAAGGCTATAACTATATCTTCGATGCGCGCGATAACCTGTCTGGGTTCGTAGACGGGCGTGCTATTCGCACAAAGACCGGGTCAGTCCTGGTGAGCTGCATCGAGGAGTACTACCTGCGTTATCCTTTCGTCAGGGAATTCGTAATGGACAGGGGATCAGAGTTTACCTGTTAGGAGGTGCAAGAACTGTTATCAAGGTATGGTGTGGCAGCCAACTACACCACGGCCGCGCACCCCCAGGCAAATGCTCCCGTAGACAGAGGACATAGTACCATTACGAATCTCCTGGCCAAATGGACCGAAGGTAGGCCTAATCAATGACCAATATACCTAAGGGCGGCTTTCTTTGTCGAGAACATTACAGTAAAGAGATCCACCAAGTACGCACCTGCGACGCTGTGGTACGGAAGGCATGCCACCTTCCCTATCGAAAGCTTTCTTAAGACGTGGAGGCGTCGGGACCTGAAAGTCAACCTGTCATTTGAAGAGTTGCTCGATATTCGTGCGCGGCGGGTCGGGGCGATAGAAGAAAGGATCCAGGATGCATCTGATCAGGTGGCGAGAAGCTGTATGGATGATAAGGCCCGATGGGATCAGTCTGCGCGAGTGAGGAAAGTACCCTTGGCAGTCAGGGATGTCGTGCTTCTCTACGATACGTCGCTGGAGAAGCAGTGGTCCAGGAAGCTCGATAAGAGATGGTTAGGTCCCTACCGAATTGCACGGGTCGGAGACTTCGGAGCGTACCAGATCGAGTAGTTAAATGAGACTGAATGGAAGGATTAGGTATCTGGAACACGGCTGAAGAAATTCGTGGCGAGAGAAGAGGTAAGAGAGATGACCTGACCGCCCCTAGAATAGAAGTGACAGGGTGTGTAGGTTAGGAAGGATGCATGCTGCATAAGTGTGGTCTGGTCTGAGCTTGCTCTGATTATCACCTGCTTGCTTACCCCAACGTGTGCCTGTTGTCTCCTTCGCCTGTTGTGCAGGTCTGACTTTACGAAGACAGCCATGCCAAGAGGAGGGAAGGGGACACGGCCGCCTCAGAGGCCGTTGGGCGCATCAGGAGGATATGAGCGGCATGGGCCTCGCCATCGAGAGAGTACTCCAGTCTACAATGA